AAGTCTTTTTTTTTTTTTTTTTTTTTTTTTTTTTTTTTGGCAATTAGACAATAACCGCTGCCTACATTGTATTCGACAGCTGTAAAAAGTAACGACCCCACCGCGGCCAAACGAAAGGAAAAAAAAAATAGAGCTCACCTGGGGTCGTCCGGGTGCAATTTGTCCAGCTGGTCGTCGGGCCTCAGCCAGACGCTGCCACCGTCCGAGACGAAATAGAGCTCGTTAAACAAGGCGCTCTTGTACCAGTCCGGGAGCTCGGGGTCCTCGAGCACGGGCCGCTGCCAGCGCGAGATCTCCTCCTCCCAGCGCCCGTAATGAGACAACGCGTAACGAGAGATTTCGGGGGCCGACGACGAGTTGCCCTTCCCGACAAAGTACTTGCTGTAATACCTATATATATATACATGCAGGGGTGGGGGGAAAGAGATGTCGGTTAATGGGACAGCAAGTAGGTATAGGTGGGTGTACGAGTCTAAAATCGCTGAGCATCAGAAGTGAAACGGTTGAACAATCGCGGGTAATCATATTTCTTCCCCCTCCCCCACCCCCCGAGTTGTTAATGGTCATCACCTGTAGTAGCTCTTCCGTTTGTAGTAGAAATGTATCCTCGGCATGTCCCAGGTCAAACAGAACTCGAGCACCACGCTGGAGCCGGCTTCTACCAGGCTGTCGGCGCAGACTGCCGTCGCTATTGGTTTCTCTGGATATACATATAATACATATATATGCGTGTACTACATGCGCCAGAGAGAAACAACAAATCGATTGCAAAAATATGGTGGAGAGTTTTTTCTCCGTTTTCGCGAACGTATACATGTATACGAAGAAATTATTTATTGTAAGGGGAAAATGTAGCTATGTAGCTTCGCTATTTACGTAGTGGGAGTGTAACTACATTGGATGGCACACATGGGGATAAAAATTCAACATCATAGTTACAGTGAGCCAATGGATGAGAATAAAGAAAAAAAAAAGAAAAAAAAGGAGGGCACACACGAGGAATCCTTGTGAAACTTTGGGAGAAAGAGCGCGTTCGTGAGTCTTGATACAAATCTCAAAGAATGCGTAGAAAGAAAAAGACAAATCTCACTGGTCTTGCTGCTAGAGTTTCTGCGTTCGGTGTTCCCGTCGTCGAGTCGTCCGTTGTCCTGCAGCTTCTGCCAGACCTCAGTGCCATTGGCCCGGGGATCAAAGTCAAGGAGTCGCGTCACGCGGACACCATCCGCCGATCGTCCCGACCTCGAACTTACCGCGTACGTGCAATCCATGCCACGGAACTCCTGGTGTATCATCGCCCCGACAACTTCGTCCACCTCGAAAAGCTCCGTCGATTTGTCACCTGTGCGCGTAAACATAAATACCGTTTGGCTCACAATCAATGATGCTTTTCCCGCATTTCTTTTTTTCTATCGTTAATGGGTATAGCAAAAAAAAACAAAAAATTCCAACACGTGTACAAAAGCTCGTTGGAACTTTTTTCGTGGGAGCAAAACGTTTTTCAGCGCTCGTCACTCTAATGGATACACTATGCGTGTATAACGAGCGCTTCTATCCGTTTCCGTTTTCCGTACCAATTACCGCGACGGGACTATATTTTAATAGTTTTCATCACCACTCTTTTTTTCCCTTTTATTATTATTATTATTATTTTTTTTTTTCTCCACTCTCTTGTCGATCACTCGAAATATTTGTTAAAATTGCCCCCGAAACACTGCACCCCAGGGATGAAAAAAAATCGGCGTATGCGAGAAATTCGATTTGAACGAAGCTCTCTTGCAAGAGGGTGCTGTTACCGATTTCATTATTTATGTAGGTATATGCATAACTTTGGGGAATGAAAGCCAAACGGCGCCTACCATTGAGGTCCTCCTTGCTTCCGCAGCCACTTTGAAAGGTAAAGGTAATGGCCACCCTGAGGTCACGATCCGACTTATTGAGCACGTCCCAGGCAAAGACGGCGCAAGGCAGCGAACTGTCCCTGTAATCGTGGGGCAGCACTGGCGAGATCTGACGACAGGTGAGCACCAAATTCACCTCCTCGATCTCGTAGACCGTCCAGGAGCGGGGGTACAGGCCCGTGTACGAGGCGCTCTTGCCGTCGAAGCCCCATTTCCACGACTTTAGGGTTTTCGGCTTTCTACGGTACATCGTATACGTCAATATATATATATATTTTTACGTTTTGGGGTCACCCCTATAGCAGTCCTCTGAACCCCAAATGGGGGAACAACGTGATAATTGTATAACTGATTTGACGGGTGATCCTCGCCGTTCCCATAATTTATCATACTTTGTGCATGACTCACGTTTTAGTCGACAGAACCTGGTTGTATATCGTGTTCCCGTTGGCGTCCCTCACAGTCACGATGAATTGATTGCCGGGTATCACGTGGTAGCTGTACAGTCCCGGCAGAAGCGCGTACCGGCAAAACTCACCCCTGAAGCCGCGGCCTATCGTTCCACCGCCTAATCCACCTATCGGTACGCCTTGACAAGCACATAGGTCACTTGACTGTTTTTTTTTTTTTTTTTTTTTTTTTTTTTTTTTTTTTTTTTTTTTTTTTTTTTTTTT